TTTTTCTGCAGTGCTTGCAGTTTCCGTCATTGTCCTCGCTTTTTCTGCAGTGCTTGGAGTTTCCGTCCTTTCCCCTCACCAGCAAAAACAAAGCTTGGCCACTTTTCTGCAGTGCTTAACACAAGGCTTGGTCGCTTTTTCTGCAGTGCTTGCAGTTTCTGTCATTTCCCCTCAAGCAAAGCTTGGCCACTTTTTCTGCAGTGCTTGCAGTTTCCGTCATTGTCCTCGCTTTTTCTGCAGTGCTTGGAGTTTCCGTCATTTCCCCTCACCAGCGAAAGCAAAGCTTGCGCCAATTTTTCTGCAGTGCTTGGAGCTTCCGTCATTTTCCTTTACCGGCAACCACAAAGCGTGGCCGCTTTTTCTGCAGTGCTTGGAGTTTTCGTCACATTCCTTCGCCAGCAAACGCAAAGCTTGGCCACTTTTTCTGCAGAGCTTGGAGCTTCCGTCATTCTCCTTCGCCAGCAAACACAAAGCTTGGCCACTTTTTCTGCAGTGCTTGGAGTTTCCGTCATTTTCCCTTTCCGGCAACCATAAAGCTTGGCCGCTTTTTCTGCAGTGCTTGGAGTTTCCGTCATGTTCCCTTACCGGAAACCACAAAGCGTGGCCGCTTTTTCTGCAGTGCTTGGAGTTTTCGTCACATTCCTTCGCCAGCAAACGCAAAGCTTGGCCACTTTTTCTGCAGAGCTTGGAGCTTCCGTCATTCTCCTTCGCCAGCAAACACAAAGCTTGGCCACTTTTTCTGCAGTGCTTGGAGTTTCCGTCATTTTCCCTTTCCGGCAACCATAAAGCTTGGCCGCTTTTTCTGCAGTGCTTGGAGTTTCCGTCATTTTCCCTTACCGGCAACCACAAAGCGTGGCCGCTTTTTCTGCAGTGCTTGGAGTTTTCGTCACATTCCTTCGCCAGCAAACGCAAAGCTTGGCCACTTTTTCTGCAGAGCTTGGAGCTTCCGTCATTCTCCTTCGCCAGCAAACACAAAGCTTGGCCACTTTTTCTGCAGTGCTTGGAGTTTCCGTCATTTTCCCTTTCCGGCAACCATAAAGCTTGGCCGCTTTTTCTGCAGTGCTTGGAGTTTCCGTCATTGTTCCCTTACCGGCAACCACAAAGCGTGGCCGCTTTTTCTGCAGTGCTTGGAGTTTCTGTCATTTTCCCTTACCAGCAAACGCAAAGCTTGGCCACTTTTTCTGCAGAGCGCTGAGCTTCGTCATTCTCCTCAGCAAACACAAAGCTTGGCCACTTTTTCTGCAGTGCTTGAGCTCCGTCATTTTCCTTTCCGGCAACCATAAAGCTTGGTCGCTTTTTCTGCAGTGCTTGGAGTTTCCGTTTCATTCTCCCTTACCGGCAACCACAAAGCGTGTACGTTTTTCTGCAGTGCTTGGAGCTCTGTCATTTTCCTTACCAGCAACGCAGCTTGGCCACTTTTTCTGCAGAGCTTGAGCTTCCGTCATTCTCCTTCGCCAGCAAACACAAAGCTTGGCCACTTTTTCTGCAGTGCTTGAGTTTGCCATTTTCCCTTACCAGCAAACGCAGCTTGGCCACTTTTTCTGCAGAGCTTGGAGCTTCCGTCATTCTCCTTCGCCAGCAAACACAAAGCTTGGCCACTTTTTCTGCAGTGCTTGGAGTTTCCGTCATTTTCCCTTACCAGCAAACGCAAAGCTTGGCCACTTTTTCTGCAGAGCTTGGAGTTTGGCCATTTTCTCATCGGTAACCACAAAGCGTGGCCGCTTTTTCTGCAGTGCTTGGAGTTTCTGTCATTTTCCCTTCCCAGCAAACGCAAAGCTTGGCCACTTTTTCTGCAGAGCTTGGAGCTTCCGTCATTCTCCTTCGCCAGCAAACACAAAGCTTGGCCACTTTTTCTGCAGTGCTTGGAGTTTCCGTCATTTTCCCTTACCAGCAAACGCAAAGCTTGGCCACTTTTTCTGCAGAGCTTGGAGTTTCTGTCATTTTCCCTTACCAGCAAACGCAAAGCTTGGCCACTTTTTCTGCAGAGCTTGGAGCTTCCGTCATTCTCCTTCGCCAGCAAACCCAAAGCTTGGCCACTTTTTCTGCAGTGCTTGGAGTTTCCGTCATTTTCCCTTTCCGGCAACCATAAAGCTTGGCCGCTTTTTCTGCAGTGCTTGGAGTTTCCGTCATTTTCCCTTACCGGCAACCACAAAGCGTGGCCGCTTTTTCTGCAGTGCTTGGAGTTTCTGTCATTTTCCCTTACCAGCAAACGCAAAGCTTGGCCACTTTTTCTGCAGAGCTTGGAGCTTCCGTCATTCTCCTTCGCCAGCAAACACAAAGCTTGGCCACTTTTTCTGCAGTGCTTGGAGTTTCCGTCATTTTCCCTTTCCGGCAACCATAAAGCTTGGCCGCTTTTTCTGCAGTGCTTGGAGTTTCCGTCATTTTCCCTTACCGGCAACCACAAAGCGTGGCCGCTTTTTCTGCAGTGCTTGGAGTTTCCGTCATTTTCCCTTACCAGCAAACGCAAAGCTTGGCCACTTTTTCTGCAGAGCTTGGAGCTTCCGTCATTCTCCTTCGCCAGCAAACACAAAGCTTGGCCACTTTTTCTGCAGTGCTTGGAGTTTCCGTCATTTTCCCTTTCCGGCAACCATAAAGCTTGGCCGCTTTTTCTGCAGTGCTTGGAGTTTCCGTCATTTTCCCTTACCGGCAAATACAACGCTTGGCCACTTTTTCTGCAGTCCTTCAAGTTTCTCTCATTTTCCCTTGCTGGCCGCTTTTTGGTGCTCCTTGTTCTTCGGCGCCTGGCAATGTCCGTTTCCCCTTCCGACAGGCCCACCCGCGGAGCCGGTCAGGTACAGTGTGACCGTTTCCACGAGCGCGACGGTCTTAGAGTTTGAGACCGCGCTCGCGCATTTGAAGGATGGAGGTGGGGGCATTGAGCCCATCATCCCGGAGCGGAAGGACTGGGGGAGAGGGGGGGGATGGAATTGGGGAAGGGGGGTTTCGACCCCTAGAGATCTCCGTTTCCTTTCCCCTTCCTGTGTGGTGATGAAATTGAGGGACCTTTTACCCTTCTCCCCTTGAAGGTAAGGAGGTATGTGTCTGCGTGAAAGTCGGGGACAGTCACACGCACATATGTGTGTTCCTTTTGGGAACCTTGTTTTGGTTGGTTAGTTGGTGGGAGGGTATTTGAATATTCAACCTCTACTTAGGATATGACGATGGTTCAACATCCAAGCAAATGAAGGGCATGGGGAGAGTCACAACCAGACATATCAGTGGGGAAAACCAACACCTATACCGGCCTTTGATCCTTACATGTTGATTCCTTGCGTGCTGGGCTTATGAGTCATATTATGTTCACCCTCACGAACGTTGGGGTTTGTTGGGAAAGTCCCAGCATCTTTGGCTGCCTTTTCCATCCCCTGTTTGCACCTTGTGTGCTAGGGAGGGGGTTAGCAAGCCTCAGCCGCCCTGTCCAGCAATTTTCAACCACAAGGACTAAACTCGCGCATGCAGAGACAAGGATTCTTCGGCTTTTCCATAGTAACCCAAAGAGTGGAACCCAGAGAACTCCACAAGGAAATTCCCTGGAGTTCCAGTAGTAGACATGGGTTATCCGGAAAACTATCCCAAATGGGTACACACCCATGTGAGGCGTACCCAAATCCATGTAAGGAAAAAGAAGGGCGGACACACCCATTTATGATTGGGACTTGCCCTTACTTACTGACCTTCACTTGCCTGGGTATTGATTGTGGCTCTTTCGGGTGTTTCCAAAAATAGGGAACCGAAAAAAGAAAGAAAGAAAAAGCAGGAAAAAACAAACGTGTTGTTGTGGAATTTTAAAAACAAACCAGACCTTAAAAAGGTGCTGGCACGTTTGCCCGCGTCCTTTTGGCCAAATAGTGTTTACACTTAGGGGTTCTTACAGTAAGAGTTAAGGCTGGGTTCGATCGAGGGTTCGCGCTCAAAGTGTTGGCCCTGTGCGTAAAAAGTTGTCTTCGATGCGACAGTCTCGCGCGAAATGTGGGTTAACGCGGGCGGTGGGCAGAAAAATCCACCGAATCGACCAGAGGATAGAACGACTGCACAGAAATAGATCCATCGCCAAGTGCGGCAAAACTGCGGGCAAACTACGAGGAAAGTTCGGCTTTTTTGCCGTCAAGTGGTAAAAAGCAGTAAAAGAAAAGAAGGGCAGACAGAAATACAGAACAGAACGCTAGACCAAGGTTGGCTCGAAAGCATCACAGCCCCGTGACCACTCCGCGCAAGTTGCTCTGGGCAAGGTGCTTTGCGCAAACTGGTCTGTGCAAGTTGCTCTGCGCAAGTTGCTCCCTGCAAGTTGCTCTGCGGAATTTGCTCTGTGCAAGTTGCTCTGTGCAAGTTGCTCTGCGCAAGTTGCTTTGTGCAAGTTGCTCTGTGCAAGAAAATCTGTGCAACTGACTCTGTGCAAATGTCTCTGTGCAAATGTCTCTGTACAAGTTGCTCTGTGCAAGTTGTTCTGTGCAAGTTGCTCTGCGCAAGTTGCTCTGCGCAAGTTGCTCTGTCAAAGTTGCTCTGCGGAATTTGCTCTGTGCAAGCTGCTCTGTGCAAGTTGCTCTGCGCAAGTTGCTCTGCGCAAACTGGTCTGTGCAAGTTGCTCTGCGCAAAATAGTCTGTGCAACTTGTTCTGGGCAAGTTGCTCTGTGCAAGTTGCTCTGTCAAAGTTGCTCTGCGGAATTTGCTCTGTGCAAGTTGCTCTGTGCAAGTTGCTCTGCGCAAGTTGCTTTGTGCAAGTTGCTCTGCGCAAGTTGCTCTGTGCAAGCTGCTCTGCGTCAGTTGCTCTGCGTAAGTTGCTCTGCGCAAGTTGCTCTGGGCAAGGTGCTCTGCGCAAACTGGTCTGTGCAAGTTGCTCTGCGCAAAATAGTCTGTGCAACTTGTTCTGCGCAAGTTGCTCTGCGCAAGTTGCTCTATTGCTCCGTGCAGCTTGCGAAGCCCGCCTGCGGACCAGGAAGGAATCGAACCTCTCCCAAGGACCAGTTTGAACAACAAAAGTCGCACAGAGGGTCGCGCGAGCCAAAACGAAACCGCAAAAACCACGAGTTGTTGCACCTCGACCACGCCGATCCCCGCAGAGGGTCGCGCGAGCCAAAGCAAAATCGCAAAAATCGCAAAAACACCTCAAGTTTTTGCACCTCGACCACGCCAATCCCCGCAGAGGGTCGCGCGAGCCAGAACAAAATCGAAAAAACCACGAGTTTTTGCACCTCGACCACGCAGAGGGTCGCGCGAGCCAAAACAAAATCGCAAAAAATCGTAAAAACAATCGAGTTTTTGCACCTCGACCACGCCGATCCCCGCAGAGGGTCGCGCGAGCCAGAACAAAATCGAAAAAACCACGAGTTTTTGCACCTCGACCACGCCGATCCCCGCAGAGGGTCGCGCGAGCCAAGACAAAGTCGCAAAAAATCGTAAACAAAACCACGGGATTTTGCGCCTCGACCGCGCCGATCTCCGCAGAGGGTCGCGCGAGCCAAAACAAAATCGCAAAGAACCCCGAGTTTTTGCACCTCGACCGCGCCAATCCCCGCAGAGGGTCGCTGCCGTCGGCACTGCCCCGCCGCCCTAAGAAGAGATTTTAACTCCTCGCAAGTCAATTGCACTTGACTCCTTGCACTTGCAACTTGCACTACTCCCTGCACTTGCAACTTGCGCTTGGCTCCATGCACTTGCAACTTTCACTTGACTCCATGCACTTGCAACTTGCACTTGACTCCTTGCACTTGCAACTTGCACTTAACTCCTTGCTCTTGCAACTTGCACTTGACTCCATGCACTTGGCACTTCTTGCAATGACTCCTTGCAATGGCTTTCATGATGATGATTCCTTGCAATGACACCTTGTAATGACTCTCACGAGAACAACTCAAGCGAACCCAGCGGAAGAACCCTTCGCCATGCTTTCGGGAAGAACAGTCAAGAACAAAAACAGCATTAAATAAAGCAAGCAATGAAAAAGAAGAAGCAAAGGGAAAATAAAGCAATAAAGAGATAACAGAACAAAACAGACAAGAACAAAAAGCTTGAACGGCATTAAATACAGCAAGAAATGAAGAAAGAAGAAGCAAAGGGAAGAGGAGCAATAAGGAGAGGAAGAAAAGAAAAGAAAAGAAAAGAAAAGGAAAGAAAGAAATAAAGAAGGCAAGGAGGAAAGAAAGAAAGCTAAGTAAAGAACACAATAAGTACAGGAAACAGAAAGAAAGAAGACAAGAAAGAAATACAAAAATAAAGAAAGAAAGAAAAGAAAGAAAGAAAGAAAGAAAGAAAGAAAGAGAGAGAGAGAGAGAGAGAGACGGAAAGAAAGAAAGAAAGAAAGAAAGAAAGACAGAAAGAAAGAAAGAAAGAGAAGAAAGGAAGAGCACAAGAAAGGAAGTAGTCAGAAACAAAAGAAACGGCAAGAAATACCAGCATGAGCGTGTGACCAACATAGACAAGCGCTTACTGCGACAACCGCCGATCGAAATCTGCGCGGGCAGCCGCAAACCTTAGTAAGTGAAAGCATGCTCGAAGCGAGTGTAGCATAACAACATATCAAATGACAAGCCAAGGCGCACAGACCGAAAAGTTGCCGTTTGAACCACTCGCGTGCGCAGGAAAACTTGGAGGAAGGTGCGCGGAAATTGCGGGTTTGGCGTGTCCAAAACTGCGACTTTTTAAGGGCTGAGCCACCAGCAGTTTGCAAGAAGCCGAGGAAACTTCGGGTTTTAAGGCTTGCCTAAAGCCATGAATTAGACCGAACATGTGACCCCATAGTCGCAAGTAATTTAGCCGAATGCCGAATTAGTCTAAATTCGTGCCCAAAACTGAGCCGCAACAAAATAATTGAATGGACAGAACACATTCCGACTAATAGTCCAAAAATGCCCGTAGACAAGCGCGAAATTTAACCGCAAAGTTGTTGAATAGTCAGTCTTCTGACTATTGCGGTCTATTGGTGCGTGTTGAAGCGCCCTCGCTGTGGCGCACGAATGCGTTTCACGCCCAGCGACTCCTGTGCAGAGATCGCGCGCGCGAATGTATCTTGAGCTCGGCGAACCGTCTGCGGAGATTGCGCGTGTCGAATCGCTCTCGCTGTGGCGGCGTGCGAATTTGTCCTGGTTGCGACGAACCCTTTGCGCAGATCGTGCGCGTCGAACCCCTCTCGCTGCGGCGCCGTGCGAATGCGTCTGTGTCGTCGGCTCCAGCTGCAAAATCACAACTTTTGAGTGCAAAAGTAGCACGGGAAGTGCGCCCGTCGCTTGTGCTCGAAATTCGTAAGTTTCAGTTTCAATTGCAAAAGTAGTACGCGAAGTGCCCTCCCACAACTCCGGCTGAACAGTCGCAAGTTTTGAGTTCCAAGTAGCGCGCGAAGTACGTTCGCGAGCTCCTGCTGCAAAAGCACAGCTTTTAAGTGCAAAGGTAGCGCGCGAAGTTCGCTCCCGCAGCTCGGCTGCAAAGTCGCAAGTTTTAAATACAAAAGTAGAGCGCGAGGTGCGCTCGCAGCTCCGGGTTCAAAGCTGCAAGCTTCAAGAAAAAGGTATAGTATGCGAAGCGCGTTCGTTCTCGGAGCTCCGGCTGCCAAATCGCAACCTTGGAGTACAGCAGTAGTACGCAAAGTGCGCTCTCGCAGCTCCAGATCAAAATTGGCAAGTCTTGAGTAGAAAAGTAGTACGCGAAGCGCGCTTGAGCAGCAAAGTCGCAACTTGTGGCGAAGCAGCGTGCGAAGTACGTCGCCATGGCTCTAACTGGAGAAGCGCAAGAAGGCTGGCGGCTTTAGTTTTAGTTGAGGGTTGGAATACTGCTTTCCGAACATTACTTTTGCGCTTAGCAACTGTGATTTGTGCCGAGCTGCAGCTGCCATGCTTCGCGCGCCGCCTGCGAGCGCAAACGCCTTCGATTTTGCCGCCGGAGCTGCGGGAAGGCACTTCGCCTCTCAAAAAGTTAGCCAAGCCGCGCGCAGATCTGAGCAAGAGAGGTGGACCAGAGCAAGCGGCATGAAAGGTTGGGCAAGAGAGGTTGCAGAGCGCCAAGCGCAAGAGGGACCATCATGCACAGCGTTGCGTGCAGCATCGTGCGCAACGTCACACGCAGCAGCATGTGCAACATCATGCGCAGCATCATGCGCAACATCACGCATTGCTTCACGCGCAGCGTCAATTCACAGCATTGCGTTCCGAGAAGTTGACAGGAGAGATACGCTTTTTAGTTATGAGGCGGGAGGTGTCAGAGTTTATTAAACATGTTTCTATGCTTCCTGGCCACCCATCATCAAGGTAAGGCACGCTCAAAAATATTTGGGGTCTCTTGCCGGGATAATTAAAGGGACACAAAAGGAAACCATCAGTTTAGGGGTCCCGTATTTTACGACACACCCAAATGCAGCCTTGCATGTTCTGCAGGAGCTGTTAGATCAGTGGGAGTTGGTGAATGGTGCCTGGACCAGATTCAAGTCGGCGAGCGAGAAGATGGATGCGTCGATGGACCCGGCTCTGGAGGAGCTGTTGATCCAACTGGAGGCGGCTATTCCCTTGTTCGCGGTACAGGACAGGGTTGGCTAGTGAAACCGGCCATTTTGAGGGAGCCGAAGCGACGCCCTGTTGCACGGCGGCTTCCTTGTGGTTTTTGCAGGTACCCTAATCTGCAACTAGAGAAAGAGCAAGCCCGGGTTTCCATGTCTGATGGCATTCTTGAAAGATAAACCGCACAGACGCACGAGTAAACTGGACAATTGTAGCCAGACAATTGGAAGCATAGATTGCTAAATGCACATATCGCATTGCCAGCAAAGCGATTGGGAAGCGGCGCCTTGCCAATGCACATGGCATACCTGGGCCCCTTGTTTCATTTTTTGGCGTCTTTCTTTCTCGTTACGGGCGCGTGTTTTCTTCAAGTTAGTTCAGGCTCTATCCAAGTTAGCTGGTAGGCGAGCTAGCTTCGAGATTCGTTTGTTAGAGCCAGTTCCCGGACCGAGCTGAGGTCAGTTCAGTGGCTAGCCCAGTTTGTTAAGTAAGTGACCACCTCAATCAGCTCTTTGGCTAGTCAGCTAGCCTAAGGTCAGCCATCTGGTTAGGTAGTTGGTTTAGGGTTCGCAGCTTCATTCGTCAGCCAGATAGCTAGTTACTACAAGTTAGTACGTGAGTCCAAGAGACTCCGAGTTTTGTTTTGATCCCCAAAACCGACAGTCCGCGGTGCCAGTCCGCAACTGTAAGTCAGTCAGTGCATTAATACACACAGCGCGACACCGTGATACCACCCCTGACGGATCCGCGCAGATACTCCAATGAAACTGTCATATGGTTCACCCATTTGCTCGCCGGGCAAACTGACGATGCAAAATTACCCATTCTCTCGGTCGCAAGCAACTCACCCCACCAACTCCGCTCACTCCACTCTCTCCACTTAACACTCACTCCCCCCACGCCACTCATTCCACTCACCCCACTCACTCCACTTACTCCACTCACCCCACTCTTTCCACTGACTGCGTCACTCCACTCACTCCACTCACGCCACTCACTCCACTCGCTCCACTCACCCACCCACTCACTGCACGCAGCGCACGCGCGCGCCCCCACGGACGCAGACACACACACACACAAACGCAGACGTAGACACAGATGCAGACACAGATACGAACACAGACACACACACAGTCATGGACAGACACGCGCAGACGCATGCGCGGAGATACGCGCAGACGCACGCGCAGGCGCACAGACACACACACACACACGGAGACCACATATTTCTCTCTCTCTCTCTCTCTCTATCTGTCTCTCTCTTTCTCTTTCTCTCTCTCTCTCTCAGACGGACAGATGGACAGACAGACAGAGACGGGCAGACAGACAGACGGACAGACACACAGAACGCACAGTACAGCGCAGCACAGTACAATGCAGCACAGCGCAGCGCAGTACAGAGACAGACAGACACACGGACAGACAAACAAACAGACAGACAGACAGACAGACAGACAGACAGACAGACAGACAGACAGACAGACAGACAGACAGACAGACAGACAGACAGACAGACACACAGACACACAGACAGACTGACAGACAGACAGACAGACACGCAGACACACAGACAGGCAGACACACAGACATGCAGACGAACAGACACACGGACACACAGACACAGCGACGCACAGACACACAGACACAGCGACGCACAGACACACAGACACACAGACACACAGACACAGAGACACACAGACACACAGACTCACAGACACAGAGACACACAGACACAGAGGCACAGAGGCACAGAGGCACAGAGGCACAGAGACACAGAGACGCAGAGACACAGAGACACAGAGGCAGAGACAGAGAGAGCAGAGACAGAGACAGAGACAGAGACAGAGACAGAGACAGAGACAGAGACAGAGACAGAGACAGAGACAGAGACAGACAGACAGACAGACAGAGACAGAGAGAGACAGACAGACAGACAGAGACAGACAGAGACAGAGAGAGACAGACAGACAGACAGAGACAGACAGAGACAGACAGAGACAGAGACAGACAGAGACAGACAGAGACAGACAGAGACAGACAGACAGACAGACAGACAGACAGACAGACAGACAGACAGACAGACAGACAGACAGACAGACAGACAGACAGACAGACAGACAGACAGACAGACAGACAGACAGACAGACAGACAGACAGACAGACAGACAGACAGACAGACAGACAGACAGACAGAGACACACAGGGCCACGCAGAGACACACAGAGACACACGCACACGCACACACAGACACAGCCACAAACAGACAGACACGCAGACACGCATGCACAGACACGCACACACACACACACACACACACGCACACGCACAGATGCACGAACACACAGACACACACACACACGGACCCCCCCCACACACACACAGACACGCGCAGACCAACAAACAGACACACACACACAGAGACACACGCACACAAACACACACACAGACACACACCCACACACCCACCCACCCACACACACACACACGCACGAGACACACAAACATGCACACACACACACAAAAACACACACACACGGACACACACACACACAGACACAGACAGACACACACACACACAGAGACACACACGCAGACACACACACAGAGACACACACACATACGGAGACGCAGAACTGACACAGCCACACAGTCACGCACACACACACAGACACACACACACACAGACACAGACAGACACACACACCCACACAGACACGCACACATGCGCAGACACGCATGGACACGCGCACACACACACACAGACACACACACAGACACGCACAGACACACAGACACACAGACACACAGACACACGCACACACACAGAGACACGCACACACACAGACACACGCACACACACACAGACACGCACACACACACAGACAGACACAGACACACAGACACGCACACGCAAAGACACACACACAGAGACACACAGAGACACGGAGACACGGACACACAGATACGCGCACACGCACAGACGCGCACACACACACACGCGAGAAACAAACACACACGACACACGCACACACACACGAACACGAGACACACACACACATCAACACACACACACACACACGCACGCACGCACGCACGCACGCACGCACGCACGCACGCACGCACGCACGCACGCACGCACGCACGCACGCACGCACGCACGCACGCACGCACGCACGCACGCACGCACGCACGCACGCACGCACGCACGCACGCACGCACGCACGCACTGCACGCACGCACTCGCACGCACGCACGCACGCACGCACGCACGCACGCACGCACGCGTGCGCGCGTGCACGCACTCGCGCACGCACGCATGCACGCAGGCAAGCACGGACGCACGCAAGAAAACATGCGCGCAGGCAAGCACGCACGCAAGCACGCACGCACGCACGCACGCACCCACGCACGCACGCACCCACGCACGCACGCACGCACCCACGCACCCACGCACCCTCGCACCCACGCACCCAGGCACCCACGCACCCACGCACCCACGCACCCACGCACCCACGCACCCACGCGCCCACGCACCCACGCACCCACGCACCCACGCACCCACGCACCCACGCACCCACGCACCCACGCTCCCACGCACCCACGCACCCACGCACCCACGCACCCACGCACCCACGCACCCACGCACCCACGCACGCACGCACGCACGCACGCACGCACGCACGCACGCACGCACGCACGCTCGCACGCACGCACGCACGCACGCACGCACGCACGCACGCACGCACGCACGCACGCACGCACGCACGCACGCACGCACGCACGCACGCACGCACGCACGCACGCACGACGCACGCACGCACGCACGCACGCACGCACGCACGCACGCACGCACGCACGCACGCAGCACGCACCCACCCACCCACCCACCCACCCACCCACCCACCCACCCACGCACGCACGCACGCACGCACGCACGCACGCACGCACGCACGCACGCACGCACGCACGCACGCACGCACGCACGCACGCACGCACGCACGCACGCACGCACGCACGCACGCACGCACGCACGCACGCACGCACCACGCACGCACGCACGCACGCACGCACGCACGCACGCACGCACGCACGCACGCACGCACGCACGCACGCACGCACGCACGCACGCACGCACGCACGCACGCACGCACGCACGCACGCACGCACGCACAAAGAAAGTTCATGGGTTTTGTCCTTTTTTTTTTCTTGGGAAATGGCCATTGTAGACAGCCTACTACAGGACATGGGCGGCATGGGCGGCAGCCCTAAGACTACAAGATTTAGGTCGTTAGCCATTGCCCAGACCGGAGATTAATTGCTGAAGCCAGCAGGTTATCACATAAACCCAAAAAACACACGGTAAGAAGCATTAGCCTCCAAGAAGGAGCGCGACCTGTCACTGATGCCAAACCCCGGCTATCCAGCAGTTCAAAATATGAAACGTCAAACACTTAAACAGGAGGCACAGTTACACCCAAGAGCAGGATGATGGCTACAAGTCACCCACGCAAAGCCACGGCTTGCCGGTAGAACACTGAATGGCTACCTATCGCCCACGCAAAACCTCGGCTCAACAGCAGTTCAATCAGGAACACCTCAAACACTGACAGGGTCATGCCCCCTACCCCCCAACCCAAACTGAACCCAAAGCAACCAAAAGCTCAGCACAAAAGGCTGCTGGCTGGCCAGGCAACTAAACTTTAAACCTCCAAAACAAATTCGGAAAATCAAAACAACCCGTCTCTTTCCCCCTGGGCAAGCTGCTGGCTAGCCAAGCAGCCTGACCAAATACGATCAGGACCGCCCGCAGAGAGGCTACAGCTTGCCTCTGGAGCCCATGAACCAGCTGCAGGTGGACCTGGCTGACATGAAGGCCTTCGAGGGCAAGCCCTACCCCTTCATGCTGGTGGCCTTGATGCGCTGACCAAAAAAGTGGCCGCGGAGCCGTGAAGGACAGCGTGTTTTCAATTCACCAGGCTGAGCAAGCACTCCACGGCGCGGTTGCGCACGAGGTCCACCAAGCA